AGGAGAAAAATGAAAAAAATTGTTGTTGTCAGTTGTTACCGTCGGTAAACAGTTAAAACGTAACGTAAAAGAGTCTCACGATGAATCACAACGATTGTAATGATATGAAAGACAGGAAAAAATGCATATTCGAACGAAATGTATTAGTGATGCAACTCGTACCGAACAAAAAGAGAAATGAAGTGCGTTTTCACCTGTCTTCTTGTGTTATTCAACGTCAATAAAGATAAAGAGCTTTCGTATATAAAGTTACAACTACGCAGAAAATTGCAATTTTTTTTTCCAACGTGACTTATAGTATCGATTTTATTTGCTATTTACGTCGAACGATTCTGAATATCTTCGGTAACATTGTAAAAGAAAATGATGGTAATGCTAGGACAAAAAGAAATTCAAAAGCAATCGACTCCTATTCCTAAGCCTCGCTCCTGTCAACGTCCTATTCATTTTGCTGAGCAGTTACACAATGTTCAAGCAACGACGAGAAAGAATGGTGAGAACGTCAGTGGAACGAATGACGATCAAAAAGTAGGTGGATTTGAACTAACGCTACCTCCTCCTTCTATTACCGAGAGGAGTATTCGGTTCGAGCAGATGCCACGTTCACCTTCCATAAAAAAGAGAAGCACCCTATCCAAGCAAACACCTCTCGTAATGGAGAAAAACATTCCATCTAAACAAATAACACTTTCATCTTCTCAAACGGAGAGAGATGTGGGACATGAGCAAATAACTACACCTAAAAAAGCTGAAGAGTTCACAGAATATTATAAAGATTTCGTAACAATGGGATATCAACATTTTCCGAGGAATATGCATGCAATAGGAGAGCGAACGATATTCGGTAAGGTAACAGCAACAGCAGAACGCTTTCGAGACCACAAACCGTTTATACGCGACAATGATTGGCTCTATGGACGTGGATCTGTTGTATACCACTGGCATCCGCCTTCACTAAGTTTTCGGAATGTTCGACGATTGAATAACTAGCGAAATTAAAATGACTTTTTCCATCAGATGACATATGCTGCGAGTAAATGAAACGAACTACCAAATAAAAGATTTTGCAAAATAGAACTTTGCGCTATCAATTTAGTGGAGAAATAAAGTTTCCATCTTCTTTAATTCAATTCACGTTTCGCTGAGATATATATACTCAAGACAAAGCAACAAATCGGTAGTTGATCATTTTCACTTCGCAGATGAACCGATTAGACCCTAAATGAGAAAAAACTCAGCTAAAAATGAAAATTGAGCAGAACCGCACTCTAGAATAAGAGTATATTTGGAAGCCCTTCAGCAAATACAATTATAAAGATTATGAAATATTCATTTTTGAAGTCGATTGAGAATCTCCGAGTCGACGGAAACTTGTATTATCAGATACGCTAAGGATCCAAAAACCAAAGGCCAACTAGAAAAATGTTGAAACTTAAAAAACTGTTATGGAATTTCAATGAAAGTTCATCCATCAGCTCGTTGAAACCCATCATGAGAGACTTGAATATTTAAAAAATTCGGATACTATTTGTTATATCTCTTTCCATATCCTTAATTGTCATTCTGAAACAAGGTATAGAAGAAACTACTTAGGGTTATCCAAAAGTAGTGGGCCAGGTTCTTTTTTTTCTTATAAATAGGTAAAAAGAAATTTCTTTTTTTACGAATAGATAGAGCGTCTTTCGCTCTATCTTTCTATGCTATTTGATCATTATTCAACTGGTATCATAATAATAAAATTCCGACAAAAACATTTTTAGTGCAATTCTAGCTGGTAGCAATAGTGCATATTATCATTCATGCGTGTTTTCATCATCTAATAGGTTTTATTAAAAAACAAAATACAGCACAAGGTGCAGCGTGAAAAGCTCTACAATTTACAAAAAACAGTTTATTTTAATTGTGCACTTTTTGTTTTCAAAAAAAGCAAAATTCTGTGCGACCAGTTTTCGCCGTTGCAAAAAAATCATTTTTTTTCTACACAAAAGAGAAATTTCTTTTTTCTTATTTCATATTTTTATCATCTAATACGTTTTATTAAAAACGAGATATACCACAAGATGCAGCGTGAAAAGCTCTACAATTTACATAGTAAAGCTTATTGTAATTGTTTTCAAAAAAAGCAAAATTCTGTGCTACCAATTTTCGCACGGTCAAAATTTGGTCGCTCAAAGTTTTGTCCAATTTGAAAACAAAAAGTGCAACTATAAAAAAAGTGGTCGTATGTAAATTGTAGAGCTTTTTACGCTGCATCTTGTGCTGTATTTTGTTTTTTAATAAAACCTATTAGATGATGAGAAAAAAACAAAGAAAACACGCATGGATGATAATATGCACTATTGCTACCAGCTGGAGTTACACAAAAAAAGTTCTTATCGAAATTTTATTATTATGATACCAGTTGAATAGTGATCAAATAGCATAGAAGGATAGAGCGAAAGACGCTCTATCTATTCGTAAAAAAAGAAATTTCTTTTTACCTATTTATAAGAAAAAAAAGAACCTGGCCCACTACTTTTGGATAACCCTAAGTATTTAATTCGTTTCGAATTTTACATACTATTAATTATGAATAGTTTGAATCTGAACAAACAAAAAATGTTACTAACGGAATGGAAACACTGCCTAAGCAGACTCTGAGAAACCAACGATGGGTACGACGAGAATGTGGGTGTGGGTGTGTGTCTGCCATTCATTTACTTACCAACCCACACCCTTTTTTCATTATTTCCACTACCACACATGTTTCGAAATATATTCAATAGATGCAGCGTGGAAAACTGAATCGAATAAATGTATTTGAAAATATGTGAGGTTGTAGAAATAATGAAAAAAAGCTAATTTTATGGGAAAATCTGGTGTTTTTCTTTCATATAGAAAATTTGAGTTTTCGAACATTTTTTTAATGTATAAAATTTCTCAAAATTTCTTAAATTCGACATTACAAATTTTACAGTATCCTTACTGTTTAGTATCAATAAATTCTATTTCTGACGAGCTTTCATTTGGTATAAAATTCATTATATATTACTTTCGGGAATAATATCATTTCCTATTCTGCATCTTAGGGTACCAGATCGACTGCTCACACCCATTTGTATATACATGTTTTCTCTAATTACACTTCTTCTTCACGTTGATTAGTCTGGACTCATGTTTACGGTTAATAAATATCTTTATTAACATATCTACATTTCCAACTACCCGAATGATTGTGTCCGAGGTTATCGGAATTTAATCAAAATAATAATAATTATTAATTTTTAAGTAAACCGCCTCCCATATTAGAAGGTTCCGGGCCTTCTATTACAACCTGTCAAAATTTTTGTAGATTCTGCTGGGGAAAACACAAAATTACTATGGAACGACCTTTGCGGAGGAGCGGTTATTAAATAACTAATTTGTGAAAAATTTTAAATGAGATGAATCACATGTAATAAAGTCAGCAGTTTGAAGTATTGCGAAACATCTGCGAGTCATCACTATGGTCTCTTTCTCTTCATAATTACACAACGTGATTTCTTCAAAAATGACGTGTTAGATATTTCACGAGATTGTGCAACTTTGATTAATCATCCTTTTCTCTTTCTCATACCTGTTTTTCTTTTGTAAACCTTGTCTAATATAAATGGTTACAAGAAAATGATGAAAATTTTACGACGAAATATATTCAAGTAATGAAAAAGCAAGAAATACCAACTCGTTTATCATTTTCTGTTTTATTAACAAGCAGAACATGTAAGCTTTCGATGTGTTTCACACATCATTATCAAACACAATGAAAAAGAATTAAATTGTAGATAGACTATATTACTTTTCGTCTATGGTAATGTTTACAAACATTGCAATGCAAGAGAGAGAAAAATATTTTTCATTATAGTTGGAGTTGCATTGCAGTGTTTGTTCTCTTTCTCGTAGAGAAGAGTCCAGTAAATATAAATTGTTTGCTTGTTAGTGTGTTCACATTTGACTGATTGATCGGAGAACAATGCGAGAACAAAAGGAATAATCGTCGCAGAAATTTGACCAAAGGTAAATGATGGTGGGAATCCAAATCTATGGAGAGTTTTAATTAATTATTCACTGATTGTTAATTATTAATATTTCTCAAAAAACTTGATCAAAGGTAATCGTGAGGGAGCCAATCAAAATCTGAAGTCCGTCTTACTTCTCTTTTACTACTGTCTTTAGTCAATTTTTTGTCTATAAAAAATTGATCAAAGGCTATTGAAGATAAAATCATCAGAACCTATGATTAGTTACGGCTAATAATATAGCAGAAATAATTGATAGTAAGATTTATAAATAGTGATATTAATTGTTGAGAAAGTTTCACCAAAGGTAATCGAGGATGAAGACCCAAACCCGAGGTTGTTTTTTCATTATTCAACTATGAATTAATTATTAGTTATAATTTACTGAGAATCCAAAAACAGAATTTCTACTAGAAAGAGCTGAGTGAGTCTGCAGATGAACGCTATGTGTAAACATTACCATCGATAATATGTAATATAGTCTATCTATAATTTAATTATTTTTCATTGTGTTTGATAATGATGTGTGAAACACATCAAAAGTTTACACGTTCTTCTTGTTAATAAAAGAGAAAATGATAAACGAATTGATATTTCTTGTTTTTTACGATGAAAGAATTTGTAGGACCCTATGCAAGTAATTTTTTTTCCTATTTTCTGAACGTTCTGCCATTTTTCAACAATTTGAAATACGTCGAGTTGTATTTGTGTGATACTACACAAGTGTTCGTCTTCTATTCTCGAAGTCTTTTCTTCAGTGGACGCTCTGTAGTGGTTGGATTTAATTCATCGCATATGCAAAGAGCTTCATTTGGCCACGAATGATGTTACAAGCACGCACAATCACACGCAAAATATGAAAGTCTTTTCGCATATCTTGGAACAGTTTTCTTATCAATCATATAGATCAACGTCATTTTTCTTATTCAGATCTATAAAATATATATATTTGAATTTGTTTTTATAATGGCACATACTGCACTCGACGATGAAGAAATTAAAGAATATTTCGATACATCAGGTATATTATAAGTTCTTTTTATTAATATTCTTCGTTTTCATTGCATCTTATTCATAGATGCACTTGATCAGAAAATCAAAACTTTAGCAGATTTTATTCGAAATGCAAAATATTTTATTGCCTATACTGGAGCAGGTAGGTGGCGTTTATTCTTTCAAAGAAAACGATTTCTATATTAAAAACAAACATCATAGGTATATCGACAGCAGCCGGCATCAATGATTTTCGTGGTCCTACAGGTGTTTGGACAGCTCGAGCAAAAGGTGTTGCTCCACCACCACGGACGGTTCTCAATCCAGAACCAACACTAACACATATGGCTTTCGTCGAACTCATGAAAAACGACTATCTGAAATTCTTAGTTTCTCAAAACTGTGATGGTCTTCATCTGAAGAGTGGAATACCAACAAACAAAATTGCTGAACTACACGGAAATTCCAATTGTGAAGCTTGTGCAAAGTGTGGGAAAGTTTACTACAGACAAACACGTGTTAAATCACTTGACGGTAAAACTAGACTAACTGGGAATCTGTGCACAGCACCGAATTGCAATGGGCGTCTACGTCGCACAACCGTTGCATTTTCTCAGTCGATGCCTGATGTTTGCCTGAAAAGAGCCACTGAAGAGTCAAAACAATGCGATTTAAGTTTATGTATGGGAACGTCAATGCGAGTTTCGCCTGCATGTGAACTTCCATCTATGAAATTAAAATCTGGAAAAAAGAAGATGGTCATCGTCAGTGAGTGAATTCTCCCTTGTGCCTTTTTCACAATTTCCTTTCCTTAAACATAGATTTACAGAAGACCCCGTATGACGATCAATGTGCACTGAGAATATTTGCACGATGTGATGATGTGATGAGAATGGTGATAGACGAATTAAATTTGGTAATTCCATCCTATATCGATTTACAATTGTGGTCAGATGCTCAATGGTTAACAGATTTTGAGCAGAATTGGCCTTTTCGGTAAGCGATGATAGAAATAAAAAAGTGCCATCAGTAGCAATACATATATATATATATTCTTTTCTTTCTAGAACTGCCGGCGATACAGACTGGTTTTCAGGAGATATTTAAATCTATTTTTTTCGTAAGCTGAACATGTTGTTTTATTATACGATTTAATAAAGAACAGGGTCGTTAGGAGATAAAATCGCCCTCCTTCAAAAATCCTATTTTTTCCCCTGATTAAATGGTCACATTAGGTCTAAGAATTTTTTACTAATAAAATCAAATCTGTAGGATATGCTTAAACGTGCTGCGGTCCTATTTATACCTTATCGTCATCTATTCTTATAAGTTCAACCTTCATTTTCGATTTTACTTTTTCTTCTGTAAGTAGGCATTGATGAGAAAGAATTCTGATGAGGGAAGGTTCCCAATTTAGGAACACTGTTCGGCTTCATATTATGACTACAAGGTAGGCCTCTTTGAGACTAAGAAAAGCCTAAAAAGATTCGTGCCCGTAGTCTACTGATGAAGAGTTATGGCCGTTTCACTGAATTTTCGACTCAAACCAAGGCATTTGCGAAAAAAAAGACCGAAATAAAGAGGGTGTGTGGGTGGGGGTGAGAGTACGGGCATCGAGGGAGAGAGGAACTAAATCCAGACTCACATCCACATCTACACCTACATCCAGACTCCACCTACATCACATCCACTCTTATGTTGTCGTCAAGCGAGGCGCGAAGAGCAGGAGAGAGGTATTTTAGAAATTTTAGAAAATGGACAAAAAATAGAAAAAATACTCAGAACTATAAATAACTATTACTGTTTGTGTACTGTTGTTTTTGGAAGAGAGTAGAGCGGTAGATCCTTCTGTTATAAATCGCGAAGAAATGGAGAACATTGTAATAAAAGTTCTTCAGAACCGGAAGAAGTTTGAAATACATCGTCTTATCAGTTGAAAAATCTTTGAGACATTGTCTCTCAAAATGGGAGAAAGCTGCAGTCAAACTTTTCTAAAGAAGGAGGAGAATACCGTACTTTAGCCTTCCCGCTCGTGCCGACTCTGGTTGTCGTGTTATCTTGCTTAGAACCTTACTTCGATCGAATCTCGAATCTGCCTGACGATTAAGAGTATACCAGTGATGCATTATATTTCTAATGATCTCGGCAGATATTTATATGAAAATATACGAGTGAACAGATGGTTCGATTACACCAAACTCTATCAAGTAACCAAGCATAGGACAAATAAAATTCGTTACAGAGATGGGGGACTCCAACTTGGAGTTGGAGTTAACTTCGGAGTTAGTGTATTTTGTCAACTCCGATTCAACTCCTGTTGCCATGGTAAGTGGTCCAATGAAAATGAGAAAAGCTGAGAGGAAATTATTGATTTCACAAGAAATTGCAAAAGGATCAAACTTTTCATAACAAACAGAAAGTATGGCACGACCCTTTATGGTCATCACCGCGGGGAATTTTCAAAAACCTAAAGGTAGAGCTGGAAATGAAGTCGGAGTTGGAGTGGCATATGACTGAAATTGCTCATCTCGGATTCGTTATCCGAAGGATAAAAATAAAAGATTCATGTACATATGCAGAATTATGACGTCGTCTTGCCGATAAGGTTCCAGGATCATTAGCGATTAGAACTTCTATAAAGAGAGATACGGGTAGAATGTTTCTATCAAGAATACGGTAACTGAATAGTGAAATGCATAATTCGCTCATTTGTTTGTGTTATTTAAAATAACTTCTTTTTCCTCAGATGGAAATGGACGTTTGAAGAACATTAAAACTAAGATAGCATGTCGAATATCTGGTCTAGATCAGATATCGTCACAGAGCAGTCTTTTCTCTGTTCTGTGATAATACCTGGTTCAGATGTGAAAGTTTGCACCTTTGGAGAGCTTTAACTATCTTTCAATATGATGCAAATAGATAGTGTAAAATTGTGTGTAGATGAGGCAGTTGTGCCATTTAAGATCTGCTGATAAATGATGAAGCTTACAGACGTTCAAAACAATTTTTATATAAATTGTCAATTGGGAAAAATATCTATTTCGCTTTATTCTTCTTACTTTGTAGAACGTAATCTATAAAAAGTGATAATTTGAAAAAGCCATAAGTAAATAGAATTTTTTTCAGTTCACTCTTTTCCATTGAAAATTAATCAATATATCTTCTTCAAGTCAATGTAATTGAGAAATATAAATCGATTTTAAGTATTACTCGCTTATCTAGGTCGAAATAAAGATACTCACCAGCAGTCTTAGGCCTGTGCTGAATCTCAAGAATGTTCTATTATATTATTTTCAAAATAATTCTTATAATAAAACGTAAAAGTATTAGACTGAGAGGACTCGTTGAATATAGCAGTTAATAATAGACTACGAATAAATATGTTATGCGAATAGAAGAAAAGAAAGAATATAAATGAAGTTAAACGAAAACAATTGATCATTTTCAACACAATCTTTATAATTATTGGTATGATTAATAAATACCGTAATCCTCAGAAAGGCTGATAGCTGTCTTTAATAGGAACAAGTATTAAAAGAATGTAAAACGAAAAGAAAACATTTTTCATATTTGAATACAAATTTTTTTATTATTAAAAAGTCCAAATAGAAACGAATATTTTTGTTTAAAATCTTAAAATAAATTAATTAATCAAGATTTTCATGAAAAAAAATGTTTTTGAAGAGAATCAATTGAAAATAGTATTAGACTTTCCAGGTCGAAGAATCTGACAGTAAGATCTTGTGTGTTTTTACAAGTTCATATACGATCTTGTACGATTTTATATGATACCCTTAAAACCATCATTTCTGATCAAATCGTACTGTAAGATTCTTATACAATCTTATTGCACGCGATCGTGTAAGACTTTGTATGATTCATATAAGGTTCTATGGAAGTATCGTATGCATTGTTTAATTGAGTTTCTTGCACTAATCGCCCCTATCTGTTTACCTTTTTATCTAACTCATTTATTTTCGTTATAAATATGTTTTATTCATGTATAAGTAATAATAAAAGACAATCATATATATAGAAGTAATTATAATAGTTAATCTTGCATATTTACATGCATAAAATACAGATAATAATTAAAACTACTATTGTTCATCGTCTCTTTGATAACGATCAGCATATTGTTAGTCAAGTTCTTCTGCATCTGTAGAAACACGAACAGTTGTTGAAATCTATTGCTGTTGTAGTTGAGCTTCTTGTCGTTGTAATAAATCAATTTAATATTATCAATGTACATCGCAGTGTTTGTGGTAAAGATCAACACAGACACAAATCGAAAAGCTTATCCAATGTGATGATGATTGACTGTAAATGGAGCACATACTGCATCTACAATTTAAAAAAAATGAATAGAACTGAATCCAGAATTGTTCAAATTTTTCTTACAATTGACTAGGAAACTTTAATAAGAACAAAAAAATATAATTGACATGTCAAGATTGAGAGACGTTCCTTTGATATGAATGGACACCGTTTAAGAAGACAATGTCTCTTTTTTTACGTATATATGAACAGAATGAATGACATACTTTTAAGTTTATGTTTTAAATGCATTAATTTTAATTTAATTATAATAAACTAGTCGGATTAAATGCACTTTACTTTATTATAGAGTAGATTAAATAATGCTATCAATTTGAATTTATTTTCTTTTATTTTATTTCTAATTGTAAATAGATAATCTTGTTAGATTAATTTTATTCCATTTTAATTTAAAACAAATAAATAAAAATTGATATCATTAATTTGAGTTAAACCAAATCAAAAAAAAAAATATTAAAAAAATGACTTGATGAAATAGAAAATGAATAAAATAAAATTAATAAGATTTTTTAATATCTAAAACACTGCTGAAACAGTTTTAAAAGATTATATGTCAGTATAAAAGAATTCATAGCACTATTTTGTGCAGAAATAATATGACGTTCATTTTTCTTCTACTAAACTCAACATAAAATGAATGTAATGATTTCTTTCGTCTCTATATAGTCCATCATGGATATTATATAAATAGGAATCCTCTATATTGTAGTGAATTTCATTGAAGTAGTTCAAAAATTTTAGTTTAATTCAAAGATATTAATAAATTCCGTTGAATTAAATTAAGTGTACTTTAAAAAAAATAAAATGGAATAAATAAACTAAATTGACTTTATTTTTGATTTACAATAAAAAAAGTTAACAAAGATTTTGTTCGAGATGAAATAATGTAGTAAATATCATAAGGTCTAATTGACCAAATCAAAATGAAAAGTTTATATAAAATCGATAAGATCTCAATATACTCAAAATAGAACTTAAAATAATTTTCACTAAAAAGAAAAATATTAAATTGTATTTCTAGAAAAAATACGAACATATTACCCTTTTTCTACAAGAACAAATGACAAAACGAACCGAGAGATATATACCTGAAGTTAACAATAAATTTGATTAGTCCAACATGTGCCATCAGTGCTATTATTTTTTAATAAACAAATACTAATGTACGAAAGATGTACTTTCAATTTAAAGAGACATAGGATGTAAACTAGAAAGTACTCTATATTTTCAATATTTATTTGAATGCAAAACTATTCTTAAAAAAACTGTTCGCTTAAGAGAAGCCTGAAATTATGATCTCACAAGATCATACAATACCTTAGAAGATTCTGATTTTCAGATCTTACAAGAATCTTATATCAAGATTCATATAAGATATACACAAGCATTTTACGGTAAGAAACA